TACCTGGATCTGTGCAAAAGAGCACAGAGTGTAGTATCAGCACAACCGACCCCATGTGCTGGTAAGTGCCTAGCCTAACCCCGACGAAGTAGTGACGAGGCTAGGACCAGACTCCAGATAAACCTGTGCGGATATATTATTGCATAAAAATAAACAGGTAATGAGAAGTTAAAAGGGAGGGGGTACATGCCTCGGGGAAACAGTTCAACTTAGCAGAAACTAAATAAATATGAAGGAACAGTACATTACCTAAAATAATATAATAACACTACTGTTGCGGCGCGCAACCCGATCCATATGTACATATATATATATATATATATATATATATATATATATATATATATATATATATTGTCGGTTGTTATTTTTGGGAATGCTAAAATTATACATTTCTCTTTAATCACCTCAAATTATTATGGAAAGGCATGCGGGATAGACGGTATATAATTATCTGCGCAAGTGTTTATATGAAACTAGTTTAGGTACGCGCTTTGCGCGTGTACCTATATTAATGAATATTAAATTTTAAAAAATTAATATAAATATTACTTTCTCTATTTCAATTTTGGGACTTTTTTCATTCCTAAACACTATCTGAAATTTTATTACCCTTAATGTTCATGTTTAGTTAATTACCCGGCATAAACAAGTTTTGTTTACGAAATATATACAATCCACCTTAAAAGGCTCCTAATTTATTATTTGTGCCTTCAATCAAGGGATTTGGTTATACCCTTTTTCTTTTTTCGTCTCCTCTCTCCCCTTTTCTCTCTAGATTCTCTCTTTCTCCCCATATCTTCGACAGACAAGTCGCCAACAAACAACATTGTCTGCCCCTTGATTGGATTTAATTCATAATGTGTGAGTGTCCTATTTGAATCAAAACTCTGACCAAGATCCCCTGTAAGATAAATGCAGCTTAGAAATGGTAGCAACAATATCAACGAACCTCTTTTTTGTCCTTATCATTTTTCCATGAACTATCAATGCACAATGAAACTGATACTAAACCAGGTTCATATTTTGGATTTTAAAGTATGGTTTGCGAATAATACTCATGTAACAAAGTTCATTTATTGTGGTTAACGATTAACTAAAGTTAATTTAGTACTATCACTCAATCCTAGATCGTACTATATATTTATCCCTCAATTTAGTACCCTTGAGAAAGCACAGTGAACATCAAAATCTCCACTGAAGGAATAAAAAAAAGCCGAAATTGCACTACCCGTGATTTTAAATTATTCACTTGGATGCTTGAAAAGGGAATAAATACTACTATATGGCTAATGACACAAATAGTGGCATTATCAAATACAAAAATGAAGAGGTCAAACACATGAGTTTTCCATGTATTTAAATTATTATTTTTTTTGTATATTTTGTATCTGATTTCTTAAACATACAACTTTCATACGATATGTCTTTTGTAGATTTTGTATCTGATTTATACATAGTAAAAACAAATTTTATACAACCAATTATATATTATACAATTTATCTACAATTCATCTATAACTTATTGTGACGACCCGGCCAGTCGTTTCATGAGTTACCGCTCCGTTTCTCCCATTTCTGCTTCTTTATGCTTCGTTATCAGTGTTTTGTGGTATCGGGTTGGTCGGATCGAGTCCGGAATGATTTTGGTAAGGTTCGAGACACTTAGTCTCTTTTAAGAAGGTTTAAGTTGGAAAAGTCAACCGGATGTTGACTTATGTGTTAGAGGGCTCGGATGTGAGTTCCGATGGTTCGGTTAGCTTCGGGAGGTGATTTGTGACTTAGGAGCGTGATCGGAATGGGTTTTGGAGGTCCGGAGTAGAAATAGGCTTGAATTGGCGAAGTTGATATTTTGGCGATTTCCGGTTGGTAGGTGAGATTTTGATCCGGGGGTCGGAATGGAATTCCGAGAGTTGCAGTAGCTTCGTTGTGTCATTTGGGATGTGCGTACGAAATTTCAGGTCCTTCGAACGTGATTTGGTTGGGTTTTTGATCGAAAGCGTATTTCGGAAGATTTTAGAAAACTTAGGCTTGAATCCGATGTGTTTTGAGTGATTTGATGTAGTTTGAGGTGTTTTGATGATTGGAACAAGTTTGAATAAGGTGTTAGGATGTGTTGGTGCTTTTGGTTGAGGTCCCGGGGGCCTCGGGTGAGTTTCGGGTGGTCAATCGGACCATTTTTGGAGTTTGAAAGTTGCAGAAATTGCAGGTTCAGTGTTGCAGAAGAATTGCCCTTCGCGATCGCGTGGGGTGTATCGCGATCGCGTAGAAGGATTTGAGGACGGCCAGAATTAAGCCTTCGCTTTCGCGTGAGAGGCTTCGCGTTCGCGTAAGGCTGGGGAGATGTGCATCGCGTTCGCGAGAGGGCACTCACGATCGCGTAGAGGAGGATGGGCTGAAGGTCATTTGTGCATCGCGTTCGCGTAGGTGAGATCGCGATCGCGAAGGTGTAGGAGGCAGAAGCGTCGCGTTCGCATGGTCCTGGTCGCGTTCGCGTAGTGTAATTTTTGGAAGTTTAAAATTTGTTCTTCGCGATCGCGAGGCTAGTGCCGCGATCGCGATAAAGGAAAAACAGAACTGGGCAGAATGTTTTAAGTCTTTTCATTCGCGATTTTGGGTCTATTTTCACCCATAGTTGATCATTTTGAGAGCTTCTTGGTGGAGATTAAAGAAGGATTCAAGGGGAATCAATTGGAGGTAAGATTTTTGAACTTAAAACTCGTTTCCATTGTGAAATCTACCTAGGAAATCATGGAACTTAAGCTAAAAATGGAAGAACTAAGGCTTGGGATTTTAGAATTTTGATTTGGGGATTTGGAGGACCAATTGGGGTCGGATTTGAGAACTTTTGGTATGTATGAACTCGTGGGGAGATAAGGAACCCGTTGATGTAAAAATTTCTGAGTTTCGAGAAGTGGGCCCTAGGCTCGGGTTTTGCTAATTTCAAGATTTTTGGTATTTTTCGATTGTTTTCCCTTGGGCTTTGTTCCCTTAGCATATTGTGACGTATTCGTTCTGATTTTGGATAGATTCGACGCTCGTGGATGCCGATTCGAGGGGCAAAGGCGTCGCGAGCTAAAGATTTAGCCGGTTCGAGGTGAGTAATGATCGTAAATGATGCTCTGAGGGTTTGAAACCCCATATTTGCACATCGTAGTGCTATATTAAGGTGAGACACGCGCTTGATGACGAGCGTGGGGTCGTTTACTATTGGGGATTGTGACTTGGTCCGTCCCGATTGATGATTTTACCGCGTATTTGACTGAGACTTATTTGTTATCATCATGACTTGGGCTGATTGCCATATTTGGGCTTCGTGCCAACTATTTGA